GGAGCTACAGGAAGCATTTACACTTTTATTTCATCTTAACCTTTTTTGAGTTGTGAGTGTTCTTCACAGTCTGGTGAAGCCTTCTGGTACCTTTTGCAGGATAATGTTTTTGAATGCATAAAATAAAATCCAGGGAATGTCAAAGAAATCAATTATATGGATATATAATATATTAAAGTCCCTGAAAGGGACACACATGCTATGATTTACATTTTCATAGGATTCTTTGACTGCTGTGGGGAGAATAGACTGTGGGAGCACAGAGACTGGTCAGATGGGGCCAGCAGCAAAGCCCCATCCATTTATCCCACAGGGCACTGGCCTCAGAAGCAGGTTGTGCAACACAATCTTACTGAGTGCAAAAGGAAAAATATACAACTTCTATTTATGTTTAATTTATGATCTTTTTGAGTGCAAGAAGAAAAATATATAACTTCTATTTTAATTTGCCCTCATTCTTTTTAATTGCTCCATTGAATGTACATTTTATAATATTCTAATATACTGGAGCATTAGCACATTTATATAATTCATGAATAAATCTACATACATTGGAGGTGCATGCTCAGAAAATATTTATGAAAGTGTTGTCTGATCAATCAAATCGGATGATCACGATTTAGGGCGAATGACCCTGTCAGAAACTCAAAAAATGCCACCATGCTTTAGACCACACTCCATTTCAGATCCATTTTGTGGGAGAGTGTGAATTCTTGCTATGATTCAACCTCGCTAAATGTCAGTCATGTTTCTCAAGCACCCTTTGCCTCTCCTCAAGAGCCCTCATCTGGCTGTAAATCCATTTACACCTGATTAGACCTACTGTCACTTCTGAGGTGGCACGTCCTCCCCTAACTCCCCAAGGGAAACAAGTTTCCCAAGGTGATTGCCAGGCAGGAAAAGGGGTTCTCAATATCCTCCCTAAAATGCAGGAGGTTCTGGAGAGAGTGTCCACCTCTAGCATGGTGAACTGGGCAGAATACCATGCCACTCATCCACCGTCTTGGTGAAGGGCTCACCTTCATTCAATTAATGCATCACAGCTTGGGGACTGGACTCCTACTGTTTTAAGTCTCTCTTCTCTGCCTGCCTCACATAGACCACTCTGGAACGCTTGTGTTCATTCTTGAGGTGCAGCAGGCTGAATGTGTGTCATTACAAAAGTTGGGCAGGGGGTGATAGTCTGTTTTATCCCCAGGAAGAGTACCTGGAGTGGAGAAGAAGAGAGAGGGAAGGAGAAGGTAGAGGGGGAAGGGCTGATTTTTCAGGAAAGCAGCTCTAGTCATAACTGACCTGCCACCCCACACTTCACTTTCTCTCTCTGTCTCATAAAGATAGGACACATTTCTTCTTTTCTTTATTAAATAAAGAAATTCCTTTTTTTGTTTTGATACCAGGGATAGAACCCAAGGGTGCTTAATCACTGAGCCACATCCCCAGCCCTTTTTAAAACTCTATTTAGAGACAGGGTCTCACTAAATTGTTAGTGCCTTACTACATTGCTGAGGCTAACTTTGAACTCATGATCCTCCTGCCTCAGCCTCCTAAGCCACTGGGATTACAGGCATGTGCCCCTGCACCTGCCAAGAAATTGTTTTATAAAGAAAGAAACCCAAGCCACATGCAGAACGAGCAGAAATCTTTAGGTGGGGTATTAAGTTGGCCACTAATGCTTTGCAGCTAGAGGTGGGTCTACCTCAGATCAAGCCACGGAGACATGCCATTTTGCCCATACTGAAAATACTATCAAGAAGAATTTCACCGATCTGCCTCACCAAGAGAAATTGGTTGATGGGACTGGGCACAGAACCTAAACCCACTACTCCTGTGCCCTAAATATGAAGTCATAATCCAATCCCATATTTTTTTTCTGTTCCTCTGATTTCTGAACTTTGTTTCAGGCACTACTCCTTCAGTTGTCCAGTTAGTTTTTGATTATTTTGACTTTTTTATTAGTGAGTATTTGCAGAAATGGCATCTTAAAGATAAACTGAATAGACACTGGAAGAGTAGCCTGATAGATCACTGTAGTATAACTTGACCAAATATCAGGGCACAAAGGGGCCTGTCCTCTGTATTATTCTGTGTAGCACCTGGCCACAAACAGAAAACAGTGTAACGTGATAAGATCGTGAGCCACGTCAGCTGTCTGCAGTTTCTCCCTGCGCGGTGGCCAAAGGGAAACAGCCATTGGAAGGACACTGACATAGCTCCTGGACAGGATAGTCGATGTGTGCTGGGAATTAACTAAGCATCTGCAGCATTTTCTGGGAAATGACGAAAACCTTGATGTTATTTATCAAAATAAAACAAAACAAGACTGGTTAAAAGAATTTGGCAAAAGGAAAAGCAAATAGTTTGAATTGAAAGAAATACTCAAAGACCTTCACTTCAATCTCCTTTAATTTCTCTGTCCTTCCTGTGCCCTTGAAAATGTGGTTTCCTGTGATGGATGGGTCAGTTCGATTGTGGGATTGATTTTGGGGACTGGATGTCTCGGCTTGTTGCTGTAGAGTTTCATGGGATTTCCCGGGAACCCTTGTTGCACTTGGGGGTATGTTTGGTTCCTGATGTGCCAGGAAACCATAGTTTTATTTATATTTGAACATCTTTGAGAATGGACAGCATTTTGAATTTCTGAAGTCTTAGGTGTCTCGTTCTCATTATTATTTACCTATTTTTTGTGCCAGATCCACTGAAAATAGGAGAACCTTGTGGGTGATCAGTGGCATTAAGTAAATGATGCCAACATGTCTGTCAGAGAGGGCACCGGGGTCCATTAATTCCCTTTCACTAACCCTCTTATTCAGAACAGACCTAAAGAACACTCAGTTTTTCAGATCCATTCTCCCTCCATGTACTAAGAAAATATTAAAAACTTTTAAAAAGGTCTCCCTGTTTTCCAATATTTAGACTGCCCCAAGTGACTCCAGACTTGTCTGGAGCCATGAGCTCTTAAAGTTTTTATTGACAGCTAATTAGACCTTTCTCCCTAACAGCCCCTGCAAACATAGGGGGAGGAAAGGGAATTGAGATTAACTGAAGACCTGCTGGGTTCCAGGCTCAAGAGACATAATCTTGTGCATGACAACTTACTTAGACCTCATAATAAATACACGTTTATGAATAGACCTACCCCCATTTAGCAGATAAAGACACTAAGGTCTAGAGTCCATAAGAAATTGAGCAAGGTCCCAAGTATGCTGATGACAAAACTGATGTCACACCTCAAGTCATCTACCTTAACTTTAGCAGGTGCAATCTCTTGTACAATTTTGGCTGTAAGGAGCCAGAAGGTGACCTTTTAACACGGCTCTGTGATTCATTTTTCCCCCCCAGGTTTCCAAAAATGAATGGGTTTCCTCCTGGGCTTCCAACCCTCCTTCATGTCCTCCTGGTTCTCTTTAAAAGAAACGTCTATGTGTCTCATTCCTCTTCTCTGTGGGTCTTACAGAGCAGTGGCTCACTAGGGCACCAATTTAATGAAATAAAAATTTCGAGCATGTTTGGTTTGATTCTAGGTGATACAAATAGAGACTGTGAATGCTTTGTAGTCAAGTTTAAAGGGAAGAGAAAGGTGGAAAGAAGAAAGTAGGTCAAGTATAGTAACTGGTAATATCTTCTTAAGGGCTGCAGAGTGAAGATTTAGCTATTAAAAAATGGAGAAATAATGTCCCATCCATCGTTTGGCACCTCTGTATCCTGAAATACCAAGTTATGCAGTGTGTAATGTACCAGTTATTTGAATCTCATATGTGCCAGCCACTGTTCTAATTAATATACAGTGTGTATGCATATTGATTTATCCTTTCCAAACATTTTGAGGTACATACTTTTGTGTGAGGCACAGAAAGGTTTAAACTTGCCCAAGGTTAGACCGTTACCCAGGCTTACTCAACTTTGCCCAAGGTTAGACCCGTAGGGGCAGAAGAGCAAGCTGAACCTTGGAAAGGTGGCTTGGGAGACCTTAACCACTGTGCTTACTTGCCTTTGGGTGACAGGGCCTCGGTTTCATGATTTCATGGGGGTTTTAAACGTTATTTTTCTTCTTAATTAGAACCAGTCCACGACACAGTTGGAAGAGCAAATATTTGTCATGTTTGGTGACAGACACATGATGAGTTAAAAGGAATTTTTTTTTTTTTTTTAAAGAAGGTCCCAGGCAAAGTTATGTCTTTCTCTTCATATTCCTTTATCTGTATTTCTCCTGTGAAAGGTCACTTGAGCACATGTACTCAAATTTCATGCTTCTAAGCAGCTACCCTGTGGCTGAAACCTTGCTCTACAAATTGACTTCTAAAATATTGTGTAATAATATGGATGCACTGGAGTCATTAAGTTATGGTTTCCTAACCAGAACTTTGGTGACAGTATTTTCCAAAAATTCCAGGACTCATCAAGTGATTTTTGTTTTGCTTTCAAATCATGCTCCTCCTTCCTGCCTGTCCCTTCTTCGCTCACACTTACTGGAAGGCACGAGGAGCTTAAATTTGCCATAAACCTCTCTTACTGGGCTGTTGGTCCTGTCAATCAGCTTACCTGGCTATGGTTTGTGGTAGAAGGGGAGGGGACAGAGGAGACTAAAAAATCCCGAAATGGTAAATTATCGTAGATTCTAGAGAAAAATAGAATTAGAAGCATTTGTGGTTCTGGTGAAAATAGCACATTTCCTTTCTGCTTGGACTGTGGGGGGTCAAAGTGTTCCGGGGAATAGAAAATAAATAAAAATTGATCCTTCACAAGTCAAAGGAAATGCTCTGACTCTGAGCACTGAAATGACAGCTTCAGATTTGAAGATCTTGTGAAACCATGTTTGAAGGTTTAAAAAAACAAAACAAAATGAAGAGACTTAAAAAAAAATGTGATGTGCCCTGTTAGGAAATCTAGCCTTTTGAGAATGATTTATACAGGCTTTTTCTAAGACTGACCATCAGGCAGCACACCCGGATCAGCTGTAGGAGGTTACGTCACTGACCCTGGTCTTTCCCTCTCTTCTGCAGGTGAGAAGCCTTACAAGTGCTCATGGGAAGGATGTGAGTGGCGTTTTGCACGGAGTGATGAGCTCACGAGGCACTACAGGAAACACACAGGTGCAAAGCCCTTTAAATGCAACCACTGCGACAGGTAAAGAGCCTTAGAAGCTGCTGGGCTAGGGAGGGATGAGAGGAGGATTGGGCGGGGAGGGGGAGCTTAAATTTGCCATAAACCTGTCTTACAAATGGGTAGATTTAGGAGTGCCTTTTACTTCTCCACCAAGAGGGTATGTCTGCTTGCGTGTCATCAAGAGGTGGTACGAATTCTTGGTTCAGTTAGGCAAGCATTTATTGAACACTAGCTGTGGGCCGGGAGCTGTGTTTGTCACTGGGTATCAACAAGACATTGTTCCCACCCTCAGGGAGATGATGTGACAAATAATTTTAGTATAATAGGAAAAGTAATAGGATAGAGAATGGTCACCTGCAGCTGCTGCTTCTGATCTTTTTATTAACATCAATACCGTTTTCCCTCATCCTTCATAACATGAAAAAATAGCTTGTTTAACAGAAGGGAGGTTAGTTTATAAGGTTTTTTTTTTTTTTCTTTTTCTCCTGAAGCATTATTGGAAATGAATTTACTGGAGAAAGCCTCCACTCTTTGGAGGCCTGGACCATTCCTTCCTCCCTTGGAGATAAGCATGAAGGTCCAAAAGATGGCAACCCTTTGAGAACTGCCCCCCGTAATTCAATTTCAGACCTTCAGCATTTGATAGTGGAAGAAGGATCACGTAGCAACAGATACTACCCAAGTAATAGTATCTGACAGCCCTGGCATTATCAACCAATAAACCCCAAAATGGAGACTCTGCAGGCCAAGGTGAAGGCAGGATTAGGTTTAGACATAATCAAATAATGGGCTTGCATCTGAGCGTGTTATCCTTCTAATCCTATTTCTGTGTTTAAAAGGAAGCTTAAGAAAATTAACCATTTTTTAATGCAATACTAAAGGTCTCAGTTATGATGAGAAAAATGCTTCTAATACGATAAAAGCCCCTGAAAGCCTCAGGGTTCCCCGGCTTGGGCAGCAGCTCTCAGGATGGCAGGAGGGGGTGGGCAGGATGTCAGCAGTGGCCTGGCTCTCCTTGGGAGGAAATGCGATCGTTTTTGCATCCTGCCTCCCCCATCCCTGTGTCCTGCACCTCCCGTTGGCCAGGCCTTCCTCAGCAGTGTTTATTTGTTTGAAGAGCAGGACAGGGTTGTCCAAGTCTCTTAGTTGGCCAAGTTGTCTGGGTGCTTCTTTAAGGTACCTCGAAAAGAGCAATTGTATTTTTCCTCCTCCTTTTTTTTCACCCCCTTTTTCCTGAGAAGGCTATTTTCCTCTTATCTTAATTTTTTAAGAACTAAATAAGGATCCTGTGCCTCCTGGAGCTCAGAGATAGACTTCCACCCAGGGCAGCGATCTCCTCCCTCTCCCTTGGAATTCTATTCTGCCTCCCAGAAACAGTTGTTGATTTCCATCCCACTCCCTAGAAGTCCTCCTGAGTGTCATGAATCAGCAGTTGTTCTTCTGCAGACTGTGTCCTAAGAAAGTGTCTCCTGTGTGGCATCCTTCATGTTCCAAGTGTCCCTGCTTCACTCCTATTTAGCCGTAGCTAATAAAGAAGCCTCACACCCACATTGTCTGTGCTCACAGTCTTTGAGGGAGGGCATTCTGTGACATCAGCCGGAATGAAGGTGGACTCTTTGTGAGTTGTCACAGTGTGTTGGCAGTAGGCACACCACAGGTCACCTACCTGTTTCTGAAGGGTGTTGAGGTTGTTCCTTGGGCATGATGGGTCACCATGATCCTTGGAACTAGACAGAGAGTTCTCAGGGGAAATTGACAGGGTTGCTATCCCTTCTCTTCAAATCAACTCACTATTGAGGGAATTTACAACTTCTGAGCAGTCAATGTTTTAGCCTTCCATCTGGCCATTTGTGTGATTTAGGTGGAAAAAGATTCCAAACATACTGGACATTTCAATGAAGGAGTTTTCAGTGATGGGCAATTTGGTTAGTCACTTGCTTTATTTTCTCCATCAAAATACACCATGGTTTCTGGAGCTAGAATTGTGCTGGACAGTTGGTACATGAATATACTAGAGTCCTGGGGCACAGGATAGTAGTGCATCTTCAACAGTGTTGGAAAGGAAGGGTTAGTTTCTCATCAGTTTCTCATGACAGGCAGCACCTTGCATTTCAATTGTAGCAGGTGTGCTAAGAATAGACAGGTCTGGGAGGTGGCTTGGGGAACTGGAATGGCCCCAAGTAGATGAAAGGAAGGCCCGGAGTCACCAAGGAGTTGGTATTCCTTAGGAGACTTTTACATTCAGAGATAGCATCTGCAGCCCTCCCCAGGACTGAAGATTGGTACCAGAGGATATGTGCATATACTCCTTGCCCTTTAAAATTTGAGCAGACTACCCTATTTAGAAGCTAAACAGGGTTTGAGCTTTCTTTTTCTAGTACCAATCTCACTTATGCTTCTATTTTTGTCCAGAGAAGTTTAAAAAATACATGAGGCATTTTTTATTTATTTAGCCAATATTTAAGATTGTTAAATTTCATATGGAAAAGTCTATATTTCTGACTTTGCTGAAAAAAATAAGATCTGGACAGTGGGCTCACATTCCCACGTGACCCTCATTGGCTAGAACTGACTAGCCATCACTATCCATTTATGATGGCCACATGATGACATTTTTCCACTGTCCTCACCACCCCTTATTGCCTCCCCCACATGAAAGCAAAGCATTTATTTTCAAGTATTAGCCAAACTCCTCTGTTGTTCCTCTTACCAAAAGAGCAGTATTTCTTTGTATCCATGCTTAACCTGAAGTGGGAAAAGCCCAAGAGTGCTGTGGGTTTTCACATGTGGCTCACTACACTTATATGTCTTATCTACTTGACCCTTGAAGACACTGTTTTTTGTGACCTCTGACTTCAGGTTTCAGTTGGGGGAAAACCAGTAAGGTGACTGTGCCATTTCCTTACCATGAGACTGAACCACGAAGATCACACAGTGACCAGTTGCTAGAGGGATGAGTCATTTTGCAGCCCATAGAGCATGAGGCTGCTAATGGTGGTAAATAAGATTCTGTTTCCATTAGAGGAATATGCACAACACCATCCTACCACGTGAGCAGTTATATTCCAGGGACACTGCTGTCAGGGTACTACCTGAGCTCTTGGGTAGTGTGGAGGGGGCATTTTGCTCTTTACGTCAGTGCACTGATAGGTAGTAGGAAATGCCAGCCAGTATCTCAGCCCATTAGTCCCCTGGTAGATAGCTGTCAATACCCATGTGACCGTACTGTGCCGTTTTTATAAGCAAGAGAAGTGGTTGTGAGGTTTGACTAGTCCTCTGCAATGTACAGATTTCAGGCACTAAGAACCTTATTTAAGGTCATCTGGCTGCTGTATAGTTATAAATACCCTCTGGAAGTCTATTTCCCTTAAAATTATTTGATTCTGTGTTTCTAGGTAGTGAGTTTATTAACTTTTAACTATTACTTTTTAACTTTTACTATTCCTATAAGGAATTCAGTAAGTATAAATTAATAAATAAAAATTAATCATGACTAAATATCTTGCTGATGTATTAAATTTAAAAAAAAAAAACAACTCTTAATGGTAAGGAACCTGGTCTAATTCTAAGCATCATGTATTTCCTAGTATTTGAACAAACACTGATGCTCATTTGATTCAGTTCCAGTTCATATCAAGTTAAAGATTTGGTTTGATTTTTTTTCTATTTCATTTTCCTGAAAAAGATGGAAGGATAAAATCAGATGCTTGCACATATATCACTAGATACCCAGTAACTGGCAAAGGCAGACTAAAGGTGAACACATACATGACTGAGCAATGCTTTCAAATAAAGTTTTGTATCAAGAATGCTATTTTCCTGAAAGTTCCCAGGGCATAGAAAAGAAAACAAAGGGGTTTTGCCCACTGCCAGGACCTCTTCACTTCTCACCATCTCAAGTCCCTATGCCCTGTTTTGGAAGGGCAACATTCCTGGTGCCTACTACGATACTGTCTCTCTCGGGTCTCAACTGCTCTGGCCCAACCACTTAACCTTTGGGTTACATTCTAACTGCCACTGTAACCAATCTCCACACATTTCATATCATGTTTATTTACTTTACAAATTGACTCTCTTACCATTCTGTGAGTTAGAAGTCCAACATGGGTCTCTCTGGGCTGAAATCCGGGCATTGGTAGGGCTACATTCTGGAACCTGTGCTTTTTCAGCTCCTGGAAACTCCTTTACATTAGCTCATGACCCTATTTCCTGACACTAAAACTGCTCAATCCTTCTCATGCTGCCATCTTTTGAGCCTCTTCTTCAATCCCCTCTTCCATTTTTAAGAACCCTTCTGGCGACTTTGGCCCACCTAGGGAACCCAGGATTACCTCCCTACTTTAATGCCAGCTGATTAGTAAATTTATTTCATCTACAGCCTTAATTCTCTTTTGCCATGTCACTGCCCATAACCACAGGTGTGGGGCACTCACTATAGATGCTTGCGGACCACAAACTCCTTAAATGGATGGCTCAGCGATTGTTGTCTCAGCCTAAAAAAAACAGATGTGGCTAAGAGTATGAATTCTGGAGCTGAGATTTCCAGGGTTCAAATCCTGACCTGGCCACTTTCTGATGAATATCTCATCTAGTACTTGAAATAAGAATGGCATTCTTTTTTTTTTAATAGGTTGTTGTCAGGATGTTAACTTAAAAAAGAAATACCTAAAAAGAGAAATTCCCAACTTGGTTTTTTTCCTTTAGGTTCTTGGGATAAAGAGAGGTAGGAGGTAGGGAAAGAAGGAGAAAAGAAAGTAGGAGAGCTGGAAAGAAAACAGGCAGTGGGCAGTACTGAGCTGTGCCCAGGACAGGACAGAGTTGTGCACCTTGGAAATTCAATCCCCAGCAGGCTTTTCCTGTGTACCAAAGATACTTATCACCATTTTATAGCATATCAGATCTCCTTCATTGCTATCTCCAAGGGATTATCCAAATAGCTTGCCCATACTCAGTCAGGGCCTGAAAGAGGTGGCTGCAATCAACATTGTTATTTTTCAGTACGTTATTGGTTTAAGTGATATTCTGCTGAAATTTTCCAATTCTTCTGTGTTTTTCATTGTACCTTTGTCCTGTTTTGCTTCATTTCCTTGGGGTTCTATCCTGCACGCGAACCTATTTAAGGAATGGACATAAACAGAGGGTGTGGAGAATGTTGGGGTCAGGGGACAGGGTGGATTTTTTGGTTTGTTTGTTTAAAGAATGAACAAACACAGGGAAATCCTGCTCTGAACAGGAAACCCTGCTAACCTGAGCAGGGCAGCTTGCTAACATCCTAACAAGAGATTTGGATGGTGGGAAGCCTGGGAATGTTCTCATAGGTAAAGAAGTAGCCAATTTCAAGAGGGAATTCAGAGGGAGTTCATACAACCAGAGTCAGGCATGATGGTTCTCTTTCATGCTCACTTAACTGGGATTCCAGCGAAAACCTTAGATTACAGGCGGTTAGGATATGGAAATGCCCACGCTATTAGTTATAAGATAGAGAACTTGACTTGGACTGGTGTTAGCACACACTAGGGGTGTGCATTAGCTTAGATAACTAACAAGAACAGAATTAGATTTGTTTTTATGCTTGGCTGGACCCAGGTTCTCAGACATTGTCATGGGGCTCTTTCTTAATCTTCCTATCCCCCGGATTCCTTTTCTTTCCATTCACTTGCTTCTCAAGCAGGCTCTTTCCCACAATGGCAATATGAACACCAGCAGCTCTAGGCTTATATCTTAGCAACTTAGCAATCCCAGTGGAAAGAGAGCTTCTCTTTTCCAATAATTTCAGCAGCTGTCTCAGCTTCCTCTCATGGGGCCCTATGGGTCATGTGACTGTCACTTAGCAGATCACAATGGCCGTATTTCAGCCTTAGAAGGAAGACAGCCCCATACCACCAAGGATACAGAAGGATGAAAATGTCAGAGTTTCACTCTTCAATGACACAGTCTAATTCTTCTTTACTGTATTTATAGTATTTGATCATGACACATGTTTTCAAAGTACATTCACATTTGCTTCTTATTTAATAATTATAATTATGATCATGATAGTTAATGTGCATTGAGATCTTAATAGGTGTCAGGTAATTGTCTAAGTACTCTGCATAGATCACTTTGTTTAATCCTCACAACCAGACTATAAGAATAGCGCTGGGGTTATCCCCAGTTGACAGTGGAAATTAAGGCATAGGGAGGTCTGTGAGCTCAGAGTCACACAGCTGTGGGAAGGGCTAGGATTTGAACTCAAGTCGCCTAAAACCTGAGTTGACCTTCCCACACTCACTTCATGTGTGCCATTTTTTTTTTTTTTTTTTTTTGAGCGTAAGGGGTGATGAAGGTAGAATTCTTTCCGTGAACCTCTCTAATACCCTCATTGTTATCTATATGTTCTAGGTGTTTTTCCAGGTCTGACCATCTTGCCCTCCATATGAAGAGACATATCTAAAAATCCTAAAGGCCAGAGTTGCCATGGCGTCGGCCAATGTTGGAAGGAAATGCCGAGGCAGGGGGCTGGACTTCAGGCGGGGACCCACTGCCTCGCAGAAGAAAGTTCTCACTTGTAAACCTCTGTGTACACACACACACACACACCCTCTCACACACAGACCCACACACATCCACGCTGTCATGCACTCAACTATATTTAAAGTATATACGTCTATTCCTTATGCCTTGCCCTAGCCAGATGGTAGAAGGCGAAGACGGAGGAAACCAGGTGAACTCAGCAAGACAGACTGGCTGCTTACTTCAGCGCTATTGGAATTCTTCCTACTGTTGCCAATGGAAAGCAAAGCAAATGGATGTGACGTCTCTGCGGGTGGACGGCAGTACGAGGGGCTTATTTAACTCGCTTCTCAGTGCAACTTGATAGGAGAATACACCGGCTTAAAGTTGCAAATGTGTAGCACTAATGTTTCTTTTTAAATAGTTGGGGGAAAATGACCTAGAAAACCAAATTGCAGTTTGGTAGCCAAAATTAACTCTTGGTTTATTTGTCCTTTGTGTGTGAAAAGTCCTACTATTCCGTGCGTCAGACTTCCTCACAGAACTGTTGATGGGTTTTTTGGTTCTTCTTAGTACCATTGAGATCTTTCGAGTCGGTACCAACGGCCTTAGCGGCGGCAGACTCTGGAATAACACCTTACACCTTTCTGGCCTGCATTTCTCTAGACTTCACCCTCAAGGGAGGAGTTTTCTTTTCTTACTTTTTGACTCTTGCACACCATATGCACTAGGGATTCTGGAAACTTCTAGCATGACTGCAAAGTGGCCAAGAGAATAAAGTCCTTGATGATAAATCACAGTATATCCCTTGAGCCTCACCTTTTTGCCAGTGCTAGATTTTTTCTTTTTAATCTCTGTTTTTTGCTAACGAAACTTGAAAAGCTTATTTGGAAGCTTAAATGTTTTATCTTTTCTCCATGGACTAAGCCTCTCCAGGACTCCTCTCTCTTTCTCTCTCAGCACCTGGATGTCCAGCTCTCGAAGCAGCCAATCAGACGGGACATCACAGTTCCCTCATCCTCCTTGAGGCCCGATGACCTCAGCTCGTAGTGATCAACCACTGTGCTGTGTGTCATTGCTACCCTATAACCAGTCACAGCATAGATGTCGCTAGTCTCAAAGGGCAGCTGCGTATTTAATCTAACTCTGGGTTCTGACCTGACAAAAAGCCAAAAAAAAAAAAACAAAAAATCACTCTTTCCAGGAGTGGGGAAAACTGAGGATGCCTCCTAAGTCTAGTGGCTTCACAAAACATCATCCTATCTTCCTCTCTCATACCCACTAAGCTCATATTACCCACTTGTTAAAATCCACCACTCAAAATGCCATTGTGGGAATGAGGGTTGACTTTAAGGGGAGGTTGGAGGTGTCTCTCTTGGGATGTTTCTTGGGGTTTGGGCTAGACCCACCATGCCTTGTGACCTAGAGCACCCAGGATCAACAGAAGCCTCACACTACTCTGCAAGCTGACTCCGAGGGGGTTCACATTCCTCACCTGTCATCCCACACACACATCCAATATTGGTCTCTATCTACCCGCATTCTTAGCTAGCTGGCACTGGCCTCAACTCCAAAGACTGCCTTTAGGACCATTACATGGCCTATGCAAGCAAGCGGGGTGGTTATTAGGACAGACTGTATATTTTGTATATTCTGGGACCATCCCTTCAAGACACGTCTAACAAACAAACATGGCATTTGGTCCACACATGGTTGCTGCTCCTCATACCACCTGGCTCCCCTCCTGCCCTCCTTTGACTGTTTGACTCATTGACTGTTAAAATGCCACCCCATACATATTTGGGATGCAAAACTGAAGTCTCTCAAAGGAAATCATAATCTAAGGAACACAAACACATATATGTCAGCAACCTTCAAGATCCTTGGCTTTTGGGTTTCCAGCTTTCTGCAAACTTTGCTTTCACTGCAGTGTTGAAGCTACTCGTCTGAGGGTCAAGGAACCTCCTTATCACAAATGCTGTAGCTGCCAGTTGGACACTTGGGGCGTTTTGAGGTCTGGCCCTTAGAATTTTCTTTCTCTTTTTTCTCCTCCTCCTCCTCTTCCTCCTCCTCCTTCTACTTCTTTTCTTTCTTCTTTTTCCAACTTAGACCAAAAAGAAAAATTTAAAAAAAAAAAAAAAGAAAAAAGAAAAAAAAAAAAACCCACCCTAAACACACAGACACACACACACGTACACACAGACATACACAAACAGATTCTGTCCATTTGCCGGAGGCAATTATATATATGTTAGTTGGAGGGTATTTTAAAAAATCAGTTTTATTCCAAAGATTTAAAACTAGATAAGACTTAGAAACAATTTCTGGAGCACTGTTTGCTGACAATCTCGTAGTCCTCAACTGCGTTTTGAGTGTATTTGTGGCCAGTCCATCAGGGCATCCCATGGGATTATATTTGAATGTGTGGTGCATCCTTTCTGGATAAAGGATGTGTGAGGGACCTTGAACCTCAGCTGTATTAAACTGTAGCGCCTCCAGTCAGTGCACTAGATGAAACTTTAGATGCCCCACATTTTGTTGGTTCGTTCATTTTCCTTTCTGTAGCAGCCTCCAGCGCCAATGCACGCACACGTCAGTGATGGCCTGAGCCATGGCTGCCACGATTTTCCATGTTCTCCCCTGAGCTGGAGCTGCTCTTGCCTCTCAAAATGCTATTATTAAGGGTTTATAATACTTAATTTAATTTTTGAACTGACCAATGCAAGGCTCTATTAAAAAGAAAGTTTAAAAAAACACAAAGAATGCAAAAGAGTAATCATTGCTGTTTGCTCCCCTTTGTCATCTGTGGTCTCATTTGAATGTGGCAGAACAAAGGCCCTTTGGTCCTCATCAGTGTCTGAAATGTTTGGTTAACTTCTCTCTCTTGTATCAGTGAGGTCCTTTGTAATCTGCTCCTGACCTTTCTCAGAGCAGGGTGAACTGAAACACCACGATGGTGCTTGCTTGCTTCAGTCCTATGCTGACTATGAGAAATGGCCTGAGAATTCGGTGGGTGCTAAGTGTATGGCTTTGAAACTGTTCTTCTCTAGCCCAGATTGACACCTGTGAATGATAACCAGCCCTCGCTGTGGGCGGGGGTGGCCCCGCTCATTTTGGAAATGGATTGGTGATGAACGGTCCATCATCTCTGATGTGAACAGGTTTTCCAAGAAAGAATCGGAATGTGTTTGGCTCCCGAGAGGGCTGGTTATTTTTAGCAGTGCTTTTTTTTGATGGACATTGGAAACACATTCAACCCCTTTCTCAATTAAATGGTTACCTCCTAACATTCCAGGGATCCCAAATTTGAAAGGAGAAACCTGGCATGGTGTTTCTGTGGATGTCCTCTCAAGCATTCTCGATCCAGGGTTCAGAGTTTGATGTATTTCTAAGCCACTGACAGTTTTCTTTATTTCAAGTTATGCTTCTTTCTCCTACCACATTGGCTGTAAGTCAGAGATGTGGAAACCTGAATGATAAAGCTGCTCCTAGCTGCTGGCCTCCTGCCCCCTGTTGGTTCACTGCCCCAGCATATGCCTGGTGGTGACCCGAGTATTATGTCCAGATACAGAGGCATTTGGATTCCATGACAAAGCTGCATTTTGTAAAAATATTGAAGACCCCAAAATGACCTTCATGATGACCATTTCCTTCTCTCTATGTGCTTTCCCTTGCAAAGCCCTTCAAATACCCCTTTTCTCAATGTCATCACCTCCCCACCCACACCTTCTGTGCCCTTTTACATCTTGATTGCCTGATTATAACAGGGTAAAAAGACAGCCAACCTCATGCACGATGAGCAGAATGGATTTCTGGTTTTAAAAAATCTTCTCTAAAGACAGAGAAAATTTTTTAAGAACTTAGTTTGGGATAAGCTTCCAGATTATCCATGTCTATTTACATCAAAGGGGAAATAAACAGAGTTTTGGGGTGGTTCATCCAGAGCATTCAGAACATTCTGCCTGTAGCCTTCACTCCTGTGTTCTATGGGAGAACCAGAAGAAATAGATTCAAATTGCAAAAACAACAAAACCCAATGATTAATTTTGATGGCTTAAAATTATTTCCTCCATGGAAGTCACTTTGTAAAATAAAAAATATAGTGGGAAGTGCTCTTGTCTTCTCCTTTGCATGAGTTCTGTTTAGGAGAAGGAAGAAAGGAGGGAGAGTCGAGAGATTTAACCCAATTGGACTACAGAAATTGTTTCTTTCCTCCTTTATAAAATCAAACAAAAAAATCTTTTGAGGGCCAGCATTTCGGGCCACAATTTTGCACCCCAAACATTGCCAAAGTGGAAATTCAGTATGTAAAATCTGGTTGAAATTTATTCATGGAAGTTTTTCCTTCCATTTTCTGTACGTGGCAGGAGCAGGGGCAGGCAGGAGGACTCAAATTATGGATGTCTGGATTAAATTTCGGTAAACATGGTGATATCTCATCTTGGAAACTAGAGGGCCTGGCCGGAGGATACATCAATGTCTTTTTCGATGGCCTATTTTCCTCTTGGAGGACTTTTTGAAATACTTGAGATGGGACAACAGAGATGTGTGTCAAAGGAAGCAAAAACTGCTTGTAAATAATGTGGTATCTCATGACTAACTGAGGCTCCAGGGTTTCTCTTGCTTAAGTCTCCTCTGTTGGTTCCTATAATAAATCCCAGAAAGGGGACAAATAAAGCTGCAGTTAACTTTCTTACGCTCATCCTTCCAATATTATAGTACTGTATTCTTCAGGTGTTTTGCATTTACATATAAGTCCTCGGGAAACAGGTATCAAAAATGAGAGAGAAATCCTAGGCTGTCACTTCACCAGTATCCCAAACAAGATACTCTTTTCAAACAGGGCTCCCTCTCAGTGGTCACGAGGGAATGTTGATACGTTCTTGGTTGGGGACTGTTTATACAATTTTTTTCAACTGTGAGCTTTGGAATCGTAAATTGCTTTGACTCCAGCTTCTGTCTACTGCCATAAAAAGGACCCCACGTCAGAATAATGAGGGTGGTATGTGCACACGTGCCTGGACGGGCGTGCGCATGTGCCCATTGTACCTTCGCAGAAGGAAAACAGGCTACTGACGTTTAGGAGGAGTAGCCACCAGTGCCTAATATCTTTGGGGGGGGGGTGGATGCTTGTAATTGCCAGTATATCAAAACCACACTGGGAGTTAGTTCCACATGGAGGGGAGGGGCAGTGGGTGGAGAGAGGGGACATTTATATCCTAGGCCTTTAGACTGGAGGCAGATGATTTCTGCAAATCTAGGTCCTGAAGGCTTTGGGGCTCATTGGCTGGTTCTTGACCTTTATGTTTTTTGTTTTGTTCCCCCCACCCCCCCAGCATGCATATTCTATCCAAACCCTGACTTAGTTTAATTTCCTTAGTTTTCACTTCTGCTTCATTCCAGGGAGGAAAAATACACCTGTTATGGCCAAGATTTCCTTGCTAACACAGAGGCAAAAATAAATGTTTAATATTTTTTGAAGCCTCCCCTTCCATTCACAACCCCCCTGCAAGCCCTTTTCTCCCCCACTACTCTCACCATGCAACTTCCCCGGCCACCATGACTTTATTTGAAATCTTGATCATCTTCTTCACAGTTGCTTGAAGAAATTTATTTTTGCACTATACATTTCCTTTTGCCAGATGTGTCTAACAAGTGTGTTTGGAAAGACCTACTCCCAGCCCCTCCCCTCACCCCGCCTCCCCCGTCACATTCTCTCAGGCCTTCTCTGGTATTTATAATATATCACAGAAGTACCCAGTCTTATAGCCCTCGGTTATGCCTTTTTTTGACATTTTATTTTTTTTAAGCTTTTTATATATATATATATATATAAATATATTACTTTGTCAAGTTTTTTTGCTGTACAAAAGTCTTAAGATTTAAAACTATTATTTGTATTATATGATGGTGGTATGTTAATGTTACAAAATTATTAATGAAGAAAAAATTTATTTTTGTTACTGGTCTGTTTCATAATTCTTTTTTAAATTGGTATATTGTAAGATATCTATGCAAAAAATGTTACGTGACGCATTTTTATTTAAGAATGTAATATGTGTAATAAACAGTAGAATGTGTTTGGCCTTGGAATGCCTTACTGTATTTCTCCTTAGCTTATTTCATTGGGGAAGAAAATCCTCAAAAAGACACAAATGAGGCCTTATATACCTCTTGGGAATTTTTTCTCTTGGAGAAAGGAAGGGTGAAAGATATTTGGTCATTTTTCTTTGTTTGGGAGGATGGTATGTGTGTGTATGTGCGTGAGCGCGTGCATGCGTGCACACACACGTGGGTGTACATTATGGTTTCAGTGAGGTAGCTCTGTGTCCAAATAAAGAAGGGACACTGAAGGCAGCTTATTTCTTCAAGAGGAGAATAAAAGAGCAAATAGTTCAAGATTATGAAGAGCAATATTTTAGAATGAGGCAGATGATAAGATGTTATTTGTTTAGGAGGTTGGGGGAGGCTATTGAAACTGGTTTATTTGGTGAGAGGGGGCCGTTCGTTCTGGAGTAGTGTTCATTTGGAGCATATTTGGAAAGGATCATTTGAAACAGTTGTGGAACAAGGAAGAAGGGGGAAGATTAGGGGGAATAATGAGGTGAGGAAGAGGGGGATATATTTATAAGAGATGCTTGGTAACAAAGTGGGGAGAAAATGAGTAGGAAAGGCAGATAAACTAAGGTTGCTCTGCAGAGTGCTGAGAGGTAGATACAAATGCAAGCAGCCTTAGATTCCAAGAGGGAGATGAAAGGTCTGGGCAAATTCTCAGAACCCAAAAGATTGCTACTGAAATCCTCTTCCACACACGACTTCCTGGAAAGAACATCAAAGTAGAGAGGAAGATGGAGCACCCAACGGGTGGTGTTATCCCAGCATCCCTTGCCCAGCTGATCCCCAAGAGAAGTGGTACCATTAACTGGAAATAATAAGCACATTGTCCCTGGGGGACTTGGTACTACTTGAGATTTCTTATTGTTCTTTGGACTTACCAAAACAGACATGATGGTAAGAAGCCTATATCCTTAATCACATGAATCTGGTGAGAACTTCCTAATTTTCACATTTGGCCTTGGAATGCCTTACTATATTCCAATGGCTACAGAGACTGAGTTGGCTGCGTGTGCCCTGATGTTTCTTAAGTCTCTGAACAGGAGAACAGGTGTAAGGAAGGGAGAGAAGCTTGGGAGGAAAGCTGAGTGACCGTGTCCTCAGTGATAAAATAGGAAAGAAAACATTAAGTGCCACAGGGGTCGGAAGAATAGTTTTGAAAATTGTAAATATCAGCTGCTGCATCTCCTGAGCAGGTAAGTGAGTTGGACATATAGTCATCCAAGCCTGACTGACAAGAAACCACATGATCCATTGGGGAAAGCACAGCACTGAGGTCTGCCGACCTATTTCCTACTCCCTGGCCTCTCCAGGACTAGCTGAGCAATTTAATTCTCATGACCAAAATCATTTACCTAGAAACTTCTTTGAGCAAGGAGGGTTAAGATAGCTTTGCAATATACCTAGAACAGATCTTATTATTCTGCTTCCCTGACTTATAAAAGAATATCAAATTGGACATTTTAGGTGGCTGACAACCTGTGCTGTGCTGAAATGTTAAGAGTGGTAAGTGTGATCTAGGTGGCATAAGGAAAAGAGATGGTTTACTTAAGTGAACATTCTAGAAGACTAAAGCATCCATATTGAGAGATACATATTTTGATTAAAATAGGACTCAATATATGTTACCCACTTACAACCTTTTGAGCATCCATTTTTGTAATACAGTGTAAATTCAGGGGTGACTATAGACCATGGGGTTGCTTGCCCTATTGGGTAGTTCTACTTTCCCTGTGGTGTTCTCTCTTTATGGAAGCTGCAAGAAGCTCTGTGTCACCTTCTAGCAGTATTTATCTCCTTGTCAATCAGCACATCAAATAAGCAAGACTGGTAACCTCTTAAGTGAAAACAACAACAACAACTGTAATTGGCATTCAACAGACAGTAGTCTGAAAGTGTAATCTGGGTGTTCCAGGCAAGTAAGTTCCCGAACCTTGTGACAGCTCTAATCTGAGGCTGTGTATGCAGATGGGAATGCTGGGCTAATGGAAAGAAGCCTCATAAAAAGAGTTCAGTGGAATTGATAAATAATTTAGTATTTCTAGCTCATTTTCCACTTATAGGTTTCGGATGGCAGATGGCTAAAAATTTTTAACTAAAACAATATTTTGAGGTTACTGATAGGTGATGGCTTTCTGGTTTATCCATGATGAGCAAATTCACAATTTCTTCTGCAACATTAAATATTCTACCTGAGATTTTTAAGACTCTCAATACTGATTGGTTTGAACGTATCTATTATTTCAAAAAATCCTTCCTAATCATAATATAACCATATATATGACCATACTATATTTTAAGATAATGAAATGACAAAGAAATAACAAGTTTTGTTTTTTTTTTAAATGGTGCTGGGGATTGAACCTAGGGCCTTATGCATATAAGGCCAGCACTCTACCAACTGAGCTATATCCCCAGCCCCAAAGAACAAGATTTTTATGTTTGTATAGAAGTTTTCATTTTCCATACACTGAATTTGAGCCGTCCATCAAGACTGCATAGATAGAATAGGTATTTTTCACCACGGTGACCATTTGCCCTCTCAAATAGGGAAACTGAGGGTACAGGAAGATAAATACTACTAGAACTCATTTATATAAAGAATCTATAAAAGTTGAATTTATAGAAGAGAGTAGAAAAGTAGTTACCAGAGGCAAGAGGTGGAACAGTTAGGGAGATGTTTATCAAAAGATACAAATTTAAGCTAGGCAGAGTAATTTCAAGCACTATATTGTACAACATACTTACTATAGTTAATAACAACACATTCTTAAAACTTGCTAAGAAAGTAGTTTTTAAGTGTTCTCACCACAAAAAAATGAGAAGTATGTGATATAATACATGTATTAATTAGTTTGCTTGAGTCATTCTATAATGTATACATATTTCAAAACACCAGGCAGCACACAATAGATACATACTATTTGTCAGGTTAAAAATAATTCATTAAAAAATAAATAGAGGAACTGGGGTTCAAAGAAAGTACATGACTTGGTCAAATTCCCATGGCAAATAGTGGAGCTGGCTTGCAGGGTCCCCCGATGCCAGATCCAGCAGACTCTCCTCTGTCTCTCACTGTTTCAGGATAACCAGGAGCTAGCTCAATGCTTATGTATGTTTGTTTCCAGGCATTAAGGTAACCAATAGTAAAGTTAGGATTGTCACAGCCTAGAATTGGAAGGGAGTGTGGATATGTCTGTCCTTCAATGTCACTGAACTACTTGAGTCCATTGAAGTTCAGAAAGTTCCAACTTGCCCAAGGTCATATAGCACATTCTTTGTAGAACAGGACCCAACCTAGGGATGTTGATATGCAGTAATGCTCTACTGGTCTTGGCAGTGTTTCTTAAACTTGAATCACTTGAGTGTGACCTTTAAGATTCTTGTGATATCCTTGCACTGGTAATTCTTTCCTTGGTACTTTTCTTTAAACTGATACACTTTTTAAAACCCTAAATACAGGTTCTAGCTTTGATCTAAGCAAAAATAGTCTCCAAACTACTGACTTGATATTTTCCCTTTAAATATAAATGAAAATAAATAACTCCAATGTTACATTCAAATGCTCAGTTATGACTAGTGGTACTTAAGAAACATTGTTCTGTACCATTCTCTAAAATCTATGCCTTACCGTTTCTCTTTAGCTAATTATTTAGTCCATATGATGCTCCTTGGAGCACATTTCAAATTGAATCTAAAAGTAAGTGCCTGTGAAAATTTAATAAAGACTGATTTGATGACTGGCAAGTTACTTAAGGACACAGAGGTCTCTTTGGAGGAAAGATAGTGTGGCCTGTGAGTGAAGTGAATGTGCAGTCTCTGCCTTCTTTCCCCTCCTTGGAACACCCATCTTCCCCCAGGGAAAGGCGCTCTCAGTGGGTGTGCTCATTATCCTGGGGATGGATCCCTGAGCATCAGGCATTGACTGCATCAAGGGCATCTTATCCTTTCCTTGTATTCTGTAGCCAACAGTCAAGGCCTAGAAGCTAGTGTACGCTGTGAGGCCCATTTCCAATTGTGCTCACCTTCATGGCTGCCCTCCTGGATCCCTAGCCTACCACCTCTACATGCACACAAATGCAGAACTCAGCCCCCAAATATCTTGTCCAATCAGCTTCCAGACACCTGATATTCCACTAATAAATCTTATTTGCCCAATGTCTTCCCTGGTTTCAATCTACATCTAGTCAGGAAGAGGTGAATCCTCAGGCCTTATCCACCATAGGTTCCTAAATAAGAAGGAATTGATTCCATACTTTCACATCAAAAAAGTTTTACACACAAAATGAATGGAAGATATGGAGATTATGGATGAGAATAAATATGTATATGCAAGGGTCCAACTTTGGGACTTGGTTGCGGGGAGGGTTAAGCAGTCAGCCAGGTCACTGCAGAGCCAACGACCATCAGGCGACTTCATAAAGGAGATGAAGCAGTAATTTGTTGCCAGTAAACTCTCCTTATGCAATCAAAATGAGAGTCTACAGGAACCTGGCTCTGCTGAGCTTATCACAGGAAACAGCTATCAGCAAATGGGTAGCCTCTAGTTAGATTATAATAGCAATTACATATCCTTACTTGCTCGGCTTGATTCTGTTCTTTGAAGCAACAACTTTTAGCATCCCGGTCTTATTATGGGCATATAGTCAACATTTCCTTTACAAAGATAGGGACATATTTGATTCACTGGGGGGTATATTTAAAGGATTACCATGCATGGACTCTAAATAACATGAGAGCCAAAGCATTGGCGATATATTTTCTCTAGCTCAACAACATACAATGTTCTTGGGATTTAGTTTGCAGACTGTTCTGACAAGTACGTGAGCCAGGATTATAAATTTTCTGTTCAAGGAACCCCAGCTATAAGAAATGAAAACCCTGATATTAGTATTTTTTTTTCTTTTGCACTGCTAGGGTGGAACCCTGTGTCTCACTTGCTCCAGCCCCAAAACGCTGGTATTATTATCATGCTTTGG